GTAGTCGTAGTAGTCGTAGTCGTAGTCGTAGTAGTAGTAGTAGTAGTAGTAGTAGTAGTAGTAGTAGTAGTAGTAGTAGTAGTAGTAGTAGTAGTAGTAGTAGTAGTAGTAGTGGCAGCGGCAGTGACAGTTGCAGTGGCAGTGGCAGTGGCAGTGGCAGGAGAAGCGAGGGGGAGGAAGGCGGATGCTATAGTGTTCTTGGAGCACAAAGCCTCCTTCCAGAATGAGGAACTATGGTCGGGCACGCCGCAGGCTGGTGTTGGAACTCTGCGAGGGCGGGGAGCTCTACGACCGCATTCAGCAGAAGCAGTACTACCCAGAACACGAGGCCAAGGTCCTTCGGCTGACAGGGGGGAATACGGGCGGGAGCGCACTTCTCTTCGGGCGAAGAAGGTACAAACAGAAGCTCGCGGAGATCCGCGCGGATTTCTTGCATCGGCGCTGGTCTCCACTGGCGGCGCCGCACCTGGCGCGCTCCGCGCGCCAGGGAGTGGAGTTCAGCGCCGATCCTCTGAGCGCACATCTCTTTTTTACATGTCTCCCATTTCCCAATATGAGCTTGATGTTATCAGTCAGACTCCTCCGATTCACAGCTCACCTCTTTCTCGCCCCACTCCTCCCTTTCCCCACTCAGACTCACTCATGCTCAGACTCACTCGCACTCGGACCCAGTCCTACCCGTAGCCAATTTGGCTCAAGCCTTCTCTAGAGCGGGTCGGGTTCCAAAGGGGGATGCGAGCCCCGCAGCCTGGGCTTGAGAGTCTTGCGCGCGAGGTGCGCAGCTCGCCCGCCACACCCGCGGCAGGTCGAGGGCGAGCGGCGCGCTTCTCGCGGGGGGCTGCTGGTCCTGGTGTTGGGGCGGCATGCTGGCCAGTGCTGGGCGTGGTGCTGCATCGATGGGCGCCGCCCGCGGGTGCGCCGGGCGCGTCTGCAGGGGCGCGGTGCGGGCGCGAGCTGCGGCGGGCGCTCCGAGGGGAGGACCGGGCAGGCCGAGGAGCACGCGGCGCAGGGGCAGGCGCTGAGGCGCGAGGCCCCGCCTCTCGTGCCCCCGAGCGTGCAGCGGGGGGTCGTGCGGTGCTGGCTCACGGGCCAGGGAGAGCGCCGTGGCGGAGCAGCGTGGCCGCGTGGCCGAGGACGCGGCCGTCCCGGGGGTTCGGCAGGTCGCGGAGGGCGGCTGGCGGGTGCCGAGGCGCCCTGCCAAGGCGCGGCTGCCTCGCGGCCGAGAGGCGCGGTTCCTCGAGGCGGTCGATGAAGCCGGTGGTGGTGGCACGGCCGACGTCGTGCCCGCCCCGCACATCGTCGCGCGCTTCGGCGACGGCGATGGCTCGGTGCTCCAGGAGGCCTTGGCATTGGCGGCGGCGGAGCGTGCGCTGCTGTCGCAGGGGGCCTTGGGCGCCGAACTGGTGGAGCTCCACGACGTCGCGGACGCCGTGGTGAGGAGGACGAGGAGCGCCTGCAGCTTGTGGGAGCCGCTGCCCTCGCACCCGCGGCCAGGGTGCGGGAGGTGCCCCAGGCCCTGGGTGCGGAAGCCGCCCGCGCGGAGCGCGAGGCGCGGGACGTCGAGGCGCAGGCGCGCGACCTCGGCGCTCGGTGGAGGGTGGCGCCGGAGGCGGAGGCCCGGCGGCAGGATCGTCGCCGTGGAGGCGCGCCGAGGACCCAGTGGCGGGAGGAGAAGGCGGAGGAGGGCCCCCGAGAGGGGCGGTGCCCGTCCGCCCTCGCCGTTGTATTCTCGCCTGGGCGTGGGAGACGCTGCCGCGGCAGCCGGAGCGTTCGCTGGTTGGCACTGCTTTCGGGCGCGGTGGTAGCACGCAAGCAAGCGAGCCCAGGCCCACTCGTACTCAGACTTATTCACTTACACAGGCACTCGCTGACATCCTTTCCTTCAGCCTGGCTCAGCCATACGTACTCAGTCAGGGCCATTCCTACTCGCACATATTCACACCCAGACCCGCTCTCAGACTCGCAGATCGTGAGGGTGTCTCGGCCGATTTGCGGTATAGCGCGCCGGGTGACGTCGACGCGCTGCGAGCCGCCGCCAGCCGCGACGGCTCCGTCAACGCCGCCGCGGAGCCGGACAAGCATCGCCGGTATCCGGCGGGGCAATTATGCCTTTGGCGCTGGAGACTGGCGGCCAGCGCGGCCAGGCCGCTTTCCGGCATCTGCGCAGCCTTGCCTGGGGCCAGGCGGCGCTGCTGGCAGCGGGCGACGACGGCGAGGCGGACGCCCTGGCCGGCCAGCTGGTGGCCCGGTGAGGGCGGGAGCTCAGCGTAGCTCTCCGCGGGGCCACAGTGCGACAGCTGCGGCCGGCCCTGGGGGCGGACCAGACTGACCGCGCGGCGGCCCTGCGCGCCGCCGAGGCGGCGCAGCCGGGCGGCTGCTGGGGCGTGCTGTTCGTCGCCTTCGCTTCGGTCTCGGCGACGGTCAGCGCGGGCGCGAGCGCGGCCGTCGGCAAAGCGGCCCGCGCCGCGTCCCTCGCAGGAGGACAACAAGGAGGAGGAGGAGGAGGAGGAGGAGGAGGAGGAGGAGGAGGAGGGGGACGAGGAGGAGGAGGAGGAGGAGGAGGAGGAGGAGGAGGAGGAGGAGGGGACGAGGAGGAGGACGATGAGGAGGAGGAAGGAGGAAGGAGGAAGGGATGGGGAGCAGGGAGGGGGGGGGGCGGGAAGGAAAGAGGGAAAAAGGGAATGCGGGCGGGCGGGAGGGAGGGATGGACCTGGACGGAGGAGGAGGAGGAGGAGAAGGAGGAGGAGGAGGAGCAGGAGGATGAGGACGAGGAGGAGGAGGAGGAGGAGGTGGAGGTGGAGGTGGAGGAGGAGGTGGAGGTGGAGGTGGAGGTGGAGGTGGAAGTGGTGGAGGAGGAGGAGGAGGAGGAGGAGGAGGAGGAGGAGGAGGAACGGCAGTTGGGGGATTATGAAGGGGATGGGGAGGGGGGGAGGGAAGGGGAGGGGAAAGCAGGCTGAGGGGGACGAGGGGAATGGCGCGGAAGGGGCGGAGGACGAGCGAGAGGAGAAGGAAAACAAGGAAGATGGGCGCACCCAACCATAACCTTCGTTCTCGCGGAGTGGAGAAGCAACAAGTCCCAGCATGCTACCGATGACATCAGGACGAAGGACGGCAGTTGGATGACGAGGAGGGTGGAGGCGTGCTGCCGGCAACTCATGGAGGCCGTCTCCTACATGCACGGCAAGGACGGCCCGGCGGCACCCGCAAACAGTTTTCTGGAGCCGAGCTCTGGGAACGTCGTCGTGGCGAGCTTTCGTTGGTGATGAGTTTGCGCATCCCAGCTGTTTTGCCGTGTTGCAGTCAATACGCACCGTAGTGTTCGAACAAGAAAACCGCATAAACATGAGTAAACTTTCAGGTCTTCGCGCGTATTTCCTGGATCGGCGTTGGACACTCCTGGCGCCGCCTCCGGCGCAGCCTCTGGCGCACTCCGCGCGTCAGGGGGGGCCCAGCGCAGATCCAAGAAATCCGCGTGGAGCGTCCGAAAGTCAATGTCTTCTTCTCTTATTGCCGCGCCCGAGTCGAGACCCGCAGTAATAATGCACCACCTCACCAGGGCTACCCTCTTGCATCCTCGCACTTTCTGCCCAGCCACAGGCGTTACCGTTACCTGCGAGATCAGTTGAGGCCGATGTCGCTGCAGTTGCCTCCCCGTGGACAGCAGGGGTTTTTGGCCTATTATGGCTAAGATGAGCATTGACTACGGCGCGTTCTACGCGCTGCGCCCCCACAGCAGTGCCGTATGCCTCCGAAGCGGGGCTATCAGATTGTTCGGACCAGGTTCTCGATCCGCTTTGCCCGCCTTGCACACCGCGGCCGACAGGCCACAATGATCCAAGTGATCCCCGGCCGAAGATGGCCTCCAAGACCGCAGCCCCAAGAGAGCCCCAGAGAGGCCCCCCAAGAGCCCGACACCGCCAGCTGGCTTCTCAGAAGCTCTCAAGAGACCCCCTAAGGCCCCCACGAAGCCTCCAAGAGGCTCCCCAGGAGGCCCCTGGAGGCCTTCAGAAGGCTTCGCACAGTGTCCCGAGAGGCATAATTACCGGGAGACTCCACAACGTATCTTAAGAGGCCCCCGTGCCTCGGAGGGCTCTCGGGCAGACTGCCCCGTGAGGGGTTCCGTATCATTCTCCTCCCCCTTCTCCTCCATGCTTCTCTTGCCTCCTCGCCTTCCCTCCGCCATCGTGCTTCCCCAATTGTTTCTCCGCTAGCAGCTGCCTTCTTTCCCTCCTCTTTTTCCCAGAAAGGGCGTGGGCCCAGGGTTCTCTTTTAGTTGGTCTTCCCCCCGGTTTTTACTTGAAGGGGGCCGGCGGAATTCTTGTGCGATAAATTACGAGGTCGAAGGGGGCCGGCGGATTTCAATTGTGAGGACGAAGGCAATTTTTCGCCACCCCTCACGCAGATCGTGCTCTTGGAATTTTACTGCCTTTAAGGAAACCTCGATATTTCACAGGTGTAGTCCACTTTTTTCCGACATCGACTTTAAACGATAAAAAAACCAGGTAAACGCGTTCGCTCGATAAATAACGAGGTACCGCGGCCTCCGGAACGGCGCTGGGAACGGAGTTTGGGATTCTTGAAGTTACATAAGTTCGGAAATAGCAGAAATCCCCTGTGCTCTTCTGATCTCCCTCCTCCTCCTCCTCCTCCTCCTCCTCCTCCTCTTCCTCCTCCTCGTCCTCCTCGTCCTTATCGTCGTCGTCGTCCTCCTCCTCCTCCTCCTCCTCCTCCTCCTCCTCCTCCTCCCTTTTCCTCCTCCTCCTCCTCCTCCTCATTCTCCTCGTCCTCCTCCTCCTCCTCCTCCTCCTCCTCCTCCTCCTCCTCCTCCTCCTTGTCCTCGTTCTCCTCGTTCTCCTCGTCGTCATCCTCGTCCTCCTCCCCCTTCTTCCTTGTCGTTCACGTCGCTTCCCCGCTCTCCCTGGCAGTCCCCGAGGCGATGTGTCCGCTCCCCTATCCTGACGACATCTTCGCGTGAGTGAGTCTTTATGGTTCAAGTCGAATCCGAATATACACGGGGAACTCTTCAGGAACCCATCACCAGCCGCAGTGGCGAAGGATGGTCGAGGATAGAAGGTAGAGCATTAGTGAAGAGGAAGGGGCCACGGAGGAGGCAGGATGGAGAGGGCAGACCGGAGTTTCTTAGGGAGCAGGAGGCCAGGGAGCTACGGGGCAAACACGATCGACCCACGAACCCGGAAAGGAATATAGAACTGTAACACATGGCAGCGTTTTCAAAGACACCTGATTGGGTGACGGGCAACTGCAACGCTGAGTGGATCGATCTTGATGTACCCTGCCGAGGGCTGTGCTGTGCTGCACCGTGCTGAATGGCGATGTGCCATGGCGCAATTGTGCTCTATAGCGTCATGGATCGAGTCCTCCTTTGCATCCGAGACCTGACCGAACTGATCTGGATCTTAAGCTTGAGCTGCCTGAACACATAGTAGCTGCCTCAGAGCTGATGGACAGGGGAACATGCCAGGAGGACGCGCCGCGAAACGTCCCAAGGGATGGCGCCAGGCGGCGTGCCAGGGGACGTGCCATGGGGTCGCACCGCGGGCCGTGCCAAGGGGACGCGCTACGGAACGTGCCAATGGATGTGCCACGGGATGCGCCAGGGGACGCGCCACGCGACGTGCCAGGGGGACTCGCCAAGGGACGCCCCACGGAACGTGCCAAGGAACGTGCCAAGTGTCAATGCTGAGTGTATCGATCTTGATGTACCGTGCCGAAATCTGTGCTGTGCTGCGCCGTGCTGAATTGCGATGTGCCATGCCGCGATTGTGCTCTATAGCCTCGTGGATCGAGTCCTTCTTTGCATCCGAGTCCTGACCGAACTGATCTGGATCTTAAGCTCGAGCTGCCTGAACACATAGTAGCTGCCCCAGAACTAATTGACAAGGGGACATGCCAGGAGGACGCGACGCGGAACGTCTCAAGGGACCCGCCAGGCGACGTGGCAAGGGACGTGCCATGGGGACGCACCGCGGGACGTGCCAAGGGGACGCGCTACGGAACGTGCTGGGGACAAGCGCTTCGCTCGAGACATCCTGCCAACATCCTCAGAATTCCTGCGCGCGGGACGCGGCACGCGCGAGACATCCTCGGAATTCTTGCAAGCGGGACGTGAAAACAAGCATTTCGCCGGAGACATCCTCTGAATTCTGGACCCCCACGAGGCCCCCCACGAGGCCCCCGCTCGAGACATGCCCTAATTTTGCAAAACCAGCGTTTCGTTCGAAACGTCTTCAACAAATTATGAAAGACAAGCATTTCGCTCGAGACATCCTGCCAAAATTCAAGGACATCCTGGCAAAACAAACGAATTAGTCGAGACATCCTCGAAATGGGCCCTGAATAGGCCCTGCGCCGGTCCAAGTAGGGGCCCAGGATGACCCGAAAGGGCCCCGCGCCGCCCACGAGGGTTCGGAGGCCCAAGACGGTTGGAGATCGTCCCGAGACCGCCAACAAGACGGCCAAGCAGGGCCCCCAGACGGCCCTAAAATTGTCCCAAATATGAGACCCGCAAGATAGCTCCCAAACGCTCCTGGACCTCCCATACGGCCTCTCCAGCATGCGTCCAATAGGCTTCATGCCTCGGGGAACCGATCATGACAGAAACATAAACTTTCGAAGGTCCATGTGGATTTCTCGGATCGGCGCTGGAGCCTCTGGCGGCGCCTCAAGCGCCACCCCTGGCGCGCGCTGCGTGCCAGGGAGGGGGTCCAGCGCCGATCCAAGAAATCAGCGCGGACCTCCGAAAGATTATGTTTATGCCATTGTTGCTTCCTCGACCGACGCCCCCAGCATTGCTGGCGGAGGCCAGGAAGCTCCTCAAGCTGTGTCGGGCATCCTGGGGCTATTTGTGGGTCGTAGGTCTCTCAGGGGCTGCTGGGAACCTTCCTCGGGTGGCCTCGATCTTCCTCATGTGTGGGCCACTATGTTTGCAAGGGCCGCCAAGAGGGCGCGAAGTAACTCGCGGTTCGCGATTCCCCACTCCTCATCCTCATCTTCATTCTCACCTTCCTCATTTTCCTCGTCCTCCTCTTCTCCCTCGTTGGGGCGGCGCGATAGCGCGGAGTTATTTGCGCTTCGCGAAGCGCGAACGTAGCTGCCCTGGTGTCTGCCGTATGTGCGCATGGATGGACGTATGGGTGGGTGCATGGGTGCGTCTGAGGAGGACGATTCGATGGATGCACGTGTGGCTGGACGACTGGACTGACGGGCAAACCGCCATGTGTCGGGCTTCGTGCTGCTTGAACCTGTTGGTTGTGTGCCTCGATGCCACGAGACGACGATGTTGGCGGCGGCGGCGGCCGCGGCGACGACGACCGGGCGTCGCGCGAGGGCATCATGCACCGTGACCTGAAGCCGGGGCCCCGGCTTCCTCCGCCTCGCCCTCGCCGCCGCGGCGCGGCGAGCACTGCCCTCGCCGCCGCGCGATCTCGTCAAGCTCGTCGGAGACGCCGCCGCCGTCGATGCGCTCGTCGCCGTCGGCGT